TTGAATGTTCAAAAGAAAGCTTGGATCATAAGTTTTCTTTTGAATATTAAATCATCAAGATAGCTTTAAAATTCATCGAGAGATGAGCTGTGAAAATTAAGGCATTAATTTTTTTTCAAATGTAGATTTGCTTGATTTCTATTGACGGCTGCCCATATGTACGTATATTTGTTTGCTACAAAATTTGGGGTTCATTTTGCGAATAACTTTAAGGATACAACTTAGGATCAATTCCGCAAATCCGCCGATATGTTTTCGATGCTGCACGTTATGTATAAGTACATACTATAATTAATGATCACTTCATTTTATTCAGAATCAATAACAATGCGGATTATCGGTACAGATAGTTTAGGTAAACAAAAAATTCGTGATGTAGTCAATAGTATAGAACAATAGATTCTTTGATTACAATATTAAAGCAAAGGCGCGTTAATGCAATTTTTGCACCAATAAAATTTTCGGGTGATTAAACTTTTGAATATATTCTATTTTGTAATAAAACAATATCGAATGATCAATTAACAATCAGTACCTTGAGAGAATTAAACTTGCATTTGAGATTACTGAACTTAGAAAAGTAAATGCTAATATTAAGGCTGAAAAAATATAAAATTAAAACAAACTTTGGAAGAATATGCAAATAAAACAGGAATGCAGAGTTTAAAGAAAGAGTCACGAAATTGGAACAGAATCATATTTGAGTCATCATTAATGTGCAAGATGCAATCTTGGCTTGTTCAGATTTAGATACAAAGTATTATTCTTTTGAAATAAAAGATGAGTCAAAAGAATTATTGTATATTTCATCACCTATTGAGGGCCATTTTAGAGAGAAAAAAAACATTGTTGGGGTTGTTAATGGAGTAGCAACCCGCCAGTTTAAGGTTGGACCGGAGCAAAGCTATCTTTTATAACCCGGGTTGTTCCATATGGAGTGACCTGGAGTAAACCCATATTGAACAAAGTCCCGGGTTGCTCCATATTGAGTGACCTGGAGCAGAGCAAACCCCGGGTTGCTCCATGAGTGCCGCCAAGGGAAACCTGTCATCGCTAGGGTACCTGGCATAGCATTCATTGGCATGGCTATAGCATGCCAAAATCTCAAATAGGTATTAGGCATGCCACAGTGCTTTATATCGAGAAAATCTCAGGCTAAAATCACTTCCGACTCTAAAATTCTTGGTCCGGATCCAATAAAATTACAGGGTCTTGTATATATATGAAAAATATAAGAAATTGTAAAAAAAAAAAAATATATAAATAACAAAAATTTACTATGCCAATTAATTTTTAACCTTAAAGTAAGAATTTTTGGCATATAATTTTAATTATAAGATGGTATTAATGTTAAATATACAGAATTTTCTTGCTTATATTATGTATATATAATTTAATAGCATGCCAAGAGTGGCATCTTAGCATGAATTTAAATAGTTGGCATACCATATAGCATATTGGCTTTTTGCTATGCCAGATACTCTAGTCATCGCGCTTTCAATTATATTTTGTACAGAACATATTCTCTAATAAATTAAATAGGTTGTGTCTGGTATAAATATAATTGAAAGCCTGATAATAGGTTTTCTCTTGATGGCACTCTATAGAGTAACCTGGAGCAAAGTCCGGATTACTCTATATAGTATGGTCTAGAGCAAAATTATTCAAAATTTTCTATAATAGCTCTAAGCAAGTATTTTTACTAATATTAATAAGCATTTTTAGTATATAAAGATAAGCAAATAAATTCTATAACTTATATAAAAATAATAATAATAATATAGAAAGAACTCTTTCTGATAATCACCTATACCAAAATTTTTCACTAAAGAAAAACTATAACAACTTGTTGGAGAGTTATGGCCTACATAGTGGTTTGTCTAGAGGTCAATGTATGCTGCTACTACAGAACTCCTATAAAAGGATATTTAGCATGCAAGTCAAGAGTATTATTATACAAGATAACTGGCAGGTGGTGCTCTTGTATAAAAAATCCTGATGGAGTGTAGCAAAAGCCAATTTCATCAACAAAGCTATTAGGCTGTTATGTCAAAAAAGAATATAGAGGAAACAACAAGAAGTTTTACTCTTTTAACACATTTGTTTGAAAATTTTGAAAATACTTGCAACCTTTTTCTTTTATTTCCACTTCCCTATTAGTTATTTAAAAAATTTTTCTCAAAAAGTGGGAATTTGGCTTACCCCTCTAAAAGATTGATCTTGTTTATATCCAAATCTAGACAGCCTAGTAGATTGCAAACATGTATTTATTAGATATGGCACTATTATTTTGGACAGGGCCCCAGGTTAGGAATTTCTTTTCTAATATAGATTAGACAGGTTGAGCAAAATTTTTCAGAGTCAGTTACAAGGTTAAAAAGAAAAACAAATAATAAAGCAAAGCTTTATAGTAGAAAATACAACTATTGCAATTGTTATATAATTTTTTTAAGCCTCACACAGATTATAATAGTGTACCCTTTTATTTTTGTATATAGATCATAACTTTTGATATTTTTTTTCTTGTTTTTTTCTATCTTGTTCTATTTTTACTTTTATTTCATAGTGTATATTTTACCTACATTTTATTTTCTTTTGTTTTTATTTTCTTTCTTCCCTTTTCTTTATTTTGTTTTCTTTTGATTTATTTATTGTAAATAGATTATAGTATAGTCTTTCTACCAGAATATAGATAGGAAAATTTAAGAAAAAAGAGGTAGTCATATAGGCTAGTAGATTCTGGCCAGTGATTTGCAGACTCAAAATTTGAGATAGATCTAGAAGAAACAATAAGGCTGCTTTTGCTTTTGGCAGATTACATATAGGTCCAATTGAAAACCAAGTGAATTACACTTTAGTATAAGATAACATTAGTTGTAAATTAGATATTCAATTGCAATTTTGCTTGTACAAATTGCTCTGTCTAAATCTAAGTAATAAAGTTGTGGTATGACTGCTTTGAATAATAATAATAATAATAATAATAATAATATAAAAAAATTGTAATCAAAAGCAAAGAAAATAAATTTCTCAAAAAAAAAATATTATTTAAATAAAAATTTTATTTAAGTATACTAGTTTAAATTAGTAATCAACTCTCTCCGCTGATTATCTGCACCAAATTTAAATGAAAGGAACTATTGAATATAGAGCAATTTTAGTCATAAGAAACAATTTAAAGTAGTCTAAGAAAAAAGAAAGCCTGTCTAAAAACACATATACTTTGTTAAAACAACAAGACAAAGTATAAACTCACCAATATAGATAACTTGCCTAAAGACAAATTTTTTGAACAAAAAATTCTTCTATTAAAAAATTTTTTGTTTTTTTGAGATTTATCTAGACCCTAAATTGTAAATCTTTGTATTATGTATAAACAAACAAAACAAAACAAACAATATGCTTACAAATATGGTTTAGGGCACAGAAGTATAAGGCATGCCCCTAAAGGTATACCTCTAGAACATGTCTATGAGTATGCCTCAAGAACAAAGGGCATACTCTTGTTATATGATTTATAAAGAATATTTTAATTAGTTAATAAGGTTTAAATACTAAATTAACATATGGGGTATCAATAAAAACCAAGCAAATTGTTTCTAAATAAATTTTTAAACATTAAGTTAAAGTATCTAAACAACAAATAAAAAATTTTTTATCAAGTATAGTTTAATAGTTGTTTAGATATTTTAACTTAATGTTTAAAAAAATTTACTTAGAAACAATTTGATAGTTTTTACTAACACTCTATGTGAAGTTTTTAGCATATTGTAAATTCACAAACTATATATTATAGAAAAAGTATGCCCATGGGCATAAGGGGCATGCCTCAGCACAAGGTATGTCTCTATAAGCATGTTTAATTTTTTTTCATGCCCTAAACCCTATTTACAAATAAACAAAACAAACCAAACAAAACAGATCATCATATATATATCTTAAAACAGACATATCGAATTCTAGAAATATTGAATAGAAAGTTAATCAACACCTGAATTAGATTATATATACAACAAAAATTAGAAAGCACATGGATTTAGTATTGATTAAAGATTTTGCCTTGGTACCACAAAGTAAATTCTATACAAATCAAAGAACATACATGCTAGAAATAAATCAAAATATAGCAAAATATCTTGGATATCAAAATCCAGAAGTAATAACTACAATTCGTAGCGCTATTGAAATTTATAACTAGGCACTATATAAATTCAATCAAGGTAAAAAATTGTTGATTGAAGAATATGTACTTCTTGGTAATATAACAGAAATAACATAAAGTATGAAAAAAGAAAGATCCAAAAAAAGTGAAAAAGTAAAATTGGAAATGCTACGTACTCCAACAAATATAAAAATTAACGTACAGATTAACAAAACAAATTACAAAGAAAAAAACCTAAAGAGAAAATGTGAAATCACGGATGACACAAAAGCTTTAAGCATTAAAAAAAAGGAAGAAGCAGTCCTAATAAAACTAGCAAAAATAAACTTGAATAAGAGTGAAGTAGACTTACTTAAAAAGAATAATACAAAGAAGGCAGTAACCAAAACAATATTACTATATATCGAAGTTGGGCAGGAAGACTACGCCACATATAAAGTTAAAAAATAAATAGGTCTAGTAAAGAAAATAAAAAGCTAAATGATAAAAGTATGGAAGGAAGATGGAAAAAAAATAAAAATAAAAATATCTATAAATTTATATAGACATCTGAAAATATCACAGAGCAGGCAAAAATAAAAACAGAAGAGGAGAAAAAGGCTAGCAAAAAAGAGGCAGATAGAGAGCTATATATTACTATGTGAGACCTACTATTATCAGCAAATTTTGCAAGAATAAATAGATGTATAAAATACTATAGAGTAATTAGAAGTTTAGAATAGTGCACTACAGCAGAATATAAAGCTACATATATGAAAATTAGATGTAAAAATGAGGAGAAAAACAACTTTACAAAAATGCCTAAGCAATTTATTATGAAGAAGAGAAAGCAGTAAGTTTAACAACAAGCAGATTTGATATGAAAAAACTAATTCATAGAAAAGAATTTAGACTTGTATTAAGAGAAGTGTTATGCAGAGCAAGTAAAGCAATATTATTCTGACAGCTCAAAAGTCTTAATATGAAAATAGTATATATATTAAATAACAGTAATAGCAACCAAAGAAGAGTTGCATCTGTATATTTTGTGTCATTATCTAACTTACAAAAAGCAAGATTAACAAGATCATACTACTTTGACGATTAAATAAAATAGGATAAAAACAAACTGTATAAAAATAGTAGATACAATAATATTAAAGAAAATAAGGAAAAAAAGGAGTATATACAAAGAGCTACAAAGAAAAACAGATATTATACAAAACAACATCATAAATATAAAAAGCAATATCCTGGAAAAAAATATCTATAGCAATAGAAGTTGCAGAAGCAGAAAAAGTAGTAACTTTAAAGCCAGAAGCAATACTAGAAAACCTCTTGCCTATGTGGAGAACATAAAGATATATCAAATACCAGAATATGCAACAAGCTCAAATATAGTGGCAATTGGCAACAGAAAAGGTAAATCTCCAGAAACTAAAAAAGAAAACAAGATAGAGAAAATTATTGTAGATATACAAAACAAATTTAAAACAATAGAGCAACTTCTTACAATACGCTTTTAAAAAGCATCTTAGATGAATCAAAGAATTTAAATAAGGCAAAGCACCTCACTAATATCTTAAATATACTCAATATAAACAAAACAAGTAAGAAAAAAATACAAAATAATTGCCTTAAGTTATTTAAAATAGGGTTCCTAAACATTAATAGGCTAAAGTTAAATAAGCAAAAGTTACTAGCACTAGCAGATTGGAAAAAAAAGAGAATTTAGACATAATAGGTATTGCAGAAACAAATTTAGATAAAAAAAAAAAAAATAGATAAAAACAAATCAACAAAGTTATTGTAGCTTTTGGTTACCGATAGATTTAGATAAAAATAAAGGATCAGAAATTAGCATGCTAGTTAATGAGAAGTAGTCAAAGCATATTACGAAATATAGCCTATATTTAATTAGAATAGAGTTTTTCTTTAAAAAAGTAGTCTTTCAAGTTTGGATTGTATACCTACCACTAGCAGATAAAAAAATTAATAAAGAAGTATAGTGAACAATAATTAGAAAAATCTGCAAAAATAAGATTAACACATATACTTGCATTATAGGAGACTTTAATATAGTAGATAGTACAGTCATAGACACAAACAATATTGGCTACAAAAATCAAGGGTTGGGCAAAACCTTAATTGAGTGGCTTAGAAATAAAGATTTTATAGACTCATTCTGCTATATAAATTCCCACAAAAAAGAATATACCTGGCAAAAGGACAATTTAGCATCAAAAATAGATTATATATAGCTAGAAAAAGGTTTTTAAAATATAATCATAAAAGCTAAAAGCAAAGATTTAGATATATTAACAGAAAGTGACTATAAGTTAATTTGAGCAGAGCTAGAAATAGGCACAATATTACAATATAGTAAACTCCAAAAAAGAGGTGAGAGTGGACCAACAAGAAAAGTATTCTTATATCATAAAACAACAAAAGAAAATTAAAAATCCTATAGCAAGTACATAGATGTTATACTAAGAAGCAAAGTAGCTATTTCATTTGGAGAAAATGCCCAGAAAAACAAATAGAAATTAATGAAAAGTGGGAGATTATAAGTAGTACAATGCTAAAAGTAGCAATGAAGCATATCACCTGAATTAATATTAAGAAAACTGAAATATAGATCAAAATCTCAGTTTCTAAAAATAAAATATACAAGAAAATCAAGTTTTCGTATTAGCTTCAAAAAGATAAATATATACATAAATAAATCTCGAAGACCAGCTAAGGCTTAATGCACATATTCAAAACATAAACCAACTATATCAAACTCAAATCCTGCTAAATAGAAGTGACAGAGTTAAAAAACTGAAGAAAAGTACTAAGAAAAAAGGCAGAAAAGAATAAGCATAGAAAAAAAAAAAAACAGCCTCAAAGTAGAACAATGCTTAAATATGATGAAAAGAGGAGGAAAAATGATGCTGCAAAGCCTTCTAAACAGATCTTACAACAAAGTGTTGTTAGATAGAGTACTCCTAGAAGAAGATTTTCATTACCAAAACTAAAAGCTTATTAGCAATAAAAGAGAAGTAAAGCAAAATATAATTTCATACTTTCAAAGACAGTTTAAAAAAAAAACTAAAAATTTAAAGAAATAAGCTAGGAGTAGCAAAAAGAATATAAGCCAAAAAAAGATATAGATCCAAATTGGTATGAGAATATACTGAATCCAATTAATGGTAAGGAATAATATCAAGCCTTATATAAAGTATGAAATAAAACAGCATCTGGCATATCCTGTATTGGCTATATACTATTCAAAATATTGTTTACAAAGTTAACAGAAAGAGTAATAGCATTCATTAACACAGTTCTGAAGTATGGTAAAATTTCAGATAATTGGAAAGTAAGACAATTGTATCTAATACCCCAAAAGAACTTTTGGGAATATAATCTGAGTAATACTAGACCTATAGCCTTACTGGAAACATGTAGAAAGATATTAACAAGAATAGTACAAGCAAAATTAAACAAAGTTATAAAAGAAAATGGTTGATCTTTAGTATAACTAGGCAATATAAAATTAATATAAGATTATAATATATAAATATAGTATTTGAACTAATTTAAGCAAATTTGAGATTAGTTAGGGTTAGTAAGTGTTATAGTAAAGTTTATAGTTAGCTTTAGGGTTAGGGTTAAAGTTTTTTTATATTATAATTTTATAATATTTCTATATTGCTCAGCTATACTAAAGAAAATCCAAAAAAACAATATATTAAAGGGTGCAAACTTTGCAGATCTTTCTGGAGAAAGTATAGTAGCTCCAGTACATATTATAAACAATATAATTGAAGAAGCAGTAGAGAAAGAAAAAGAACTGTGGATTGTGTACCAAGATATAAAGAAAGCTTTCAACTTAGTAAGTATAATAGCACTAAAAAAAATGCTAAAAAGACTTAGATTTCTACCAAAGTTAGCAGACTTTATATTATACTTATATAAAATTAGAAGATTTAGTATTATAACAAAATATGGCAATACAGACTTGTTTGAAGCAGGAGATGAGATAGACCAAGAAGAGGTTCTGTCACTCTTGGTTTGGAGAATTTTCTACAACCCACTCTTTTGTAAAGTACAAAATACAAAATTAGACTATAAAATGCAAGATATGTTAATAGATGCTAACAGAAAAGTTGAAGGTGAAAAGCTAAGAATAGGAGTTTTAGTATATACAAATAACACAATGTAGATGACATATAATCAAGAAAGTATGCAAGAGATAATCAATATATCAAATAAATTTTACAAACTAAACAATATTAAAATAAATCCAAATAAAATTAAGCTAGTAGTAGCAAAACCAGGAAGGAGAAAAGTAAATAACAATCTATTTGTATAAGTCAGAAGTCTAAAAACAAAAATTCTGGCTAAAGATTTAAAAGAATCGTCTTATTTTTTTGGGATTTGGATCTCAATTAAAAACTAGAAAGATTAGATATATACAAAGCAAAGAAAGAAGTAAACAAAATAACAGGTTTACTCAAATATAAGAAAATATCATCTAGCCAAATTATATATATAAACAATGTGGTTTTTATACTTACACTAAAATATAGGCTTATGCTCTTATATTTAACTAAAGCTCAATATAATAGAATATATCAATCTATAGTTTGTTTTACAAAATAGAAAATATCAATGCTATCCACAGCAGTAATAGTAAATGACTTGATCATTTGCAAATTTTTTAAATGACCTCAAATGATCCCAAAATGACTAGTCATTAACAGTCATCTCAATTTTGGATCATTTGGAAATGACTCATAACCAAATGACCATAGTCATTTAGAAATAACTAGGGTCATTTGAGAGTTATTTAGTCTAAATAAGTGGGTATTTGTATACTCGAGCCCAAGCTCAATAAAAATTCTTATGCCCAACCCAACCTATAAATAGTAAATAATCCGGTCATTTGATTGAGATTTAAACATCAAATCATGACAAGGTCATTAAGCTTATTTATATGTATATAAAATAATTTTATTGGTTGAATTGTTCATTAAAAAGTTATCAAACTTTATTTTATTTCTAATCGATTAAAGTCAAAGTTAATTAATATTTATAAATTGACTTTTTAGATTTTGTATAAATGTAAAGCATGGAAGTAAATTAATAAAATTTTTTCAGTTTATATGAAAATTTCAGAATATATATAATTTATTATTTCAGATAGCTTTATATACAAATTAGTTACTTAGTAAAAATTTTAACTTTAATATATAGTTTTACAGGCTAGATTGACATCATAGTCAAACAAGTTTATAATTTAGAGCCGAAGGCTTTGATAATTTATAATATATCTCGGTAATAAGTAGATCTCAGCCAATAAAAGTTAAGCCACTATACAATAAGGTAAGTTTTGTTTAAGCCTCATTAGTCCTTTAATATTATATAAAGGACATAATTTAAATAAGGTTGGTAACGACATTTATATGCGAAGAAGAGGCATATAAGATCACTAACTCGATAATAATTTCCTTATATTATATGAACCAAATTATCAATATCACGCCTCTGGCAAGTTGCCTTATCATATAAAGTCTATATTTTTATAGTGTTATAAAATGAGATTCATATTTTATCTCTATTAGATTCAGAAGCTTGTTGTAATTCTAACAAGCTATAATATATTAGAAACAGATTATTAGTTAATAGAATATTACCAAAACAATTCTAACATAATATACTTTTTATACTTTTTATATCTTTTATACCTTTTGTACCTTTTATACCTTTTGTACCTTTTATATCTTTTATACTTTTTATACCTTTTGTACCTTTTGTATCTTTTATGCCTTTTATATGTTTAGTACTTTTTATACCTGTTATACATGTTGTAAAAGCTATATAAACTCTGGCTTTTACCCTTCTTGTACTAGAGGATTTGTTCCTTACAATGTTCTAAATATTAAGATTCTATAGAAATAGATACCTGTAGATAGTTTAGTATCTAAGCATTGTATCATAAATAAATAAACATATCTTTGCCCTAAAGTAAACCATGTCTCTATGCCTCTAATGAATATACTGAACTGCCCTAGTGAGGAAACATTCCACTTCCACACTGCTTCATATCTCACCCTGTTATTTTAGAGATCTCTGTCGCTGTGTGCTATGTTGCAGGTGGTAAATTAAGAAGGCTACTCCACTTGTAACAATAGTATAGATTATAGAATATACGATTCTTCCCATAACAATAGCTACAATTATCAATTATATTTTGTTTGGCAGCAAATTTTAATTGGCTAAAGAGCAATAGAATATTAATTAACATATATTAAATAACTCTCTAAATCATTTTGGTTTTGAAATGACCCAATGACTAGTCATTTGTCATTTGGGTCATTTAGGTCATTTACTATCACTAATCCACAGCAGCAAAAATGATAACAAAGCATCCAGAGATAGTAAATATCAAAAGTCTTTGGAATAAACATATAGAACACCATTTTTCAAAACTTATAGTAAGACTAAACACAGGCAGGCTTTTAGAAAAGTTGACAATAATAAGGTTAAAACAGGGTCTGCACATGATGGGCTCAACCAAATATATTCTAACAAATCATAAACTTTTAGAGAAAAGAAAGTTAAAAATAAGAAACTTGGATGTGTAAATTCTATAGCAAGCAAAATTATTAGGTTTTATAATAAAAGAGAGTAACTTTATAAAAAGTTGAGATATGAACTTCTCTCAAATAGCTAAGGATTATGAAATTGCAAAGATTTTAAAAAAATATAGGTTTATTATAAAAGTACAAATGCAAGCAGAATAGGGTTATAGTTATTATTGCAGCTCCTAACAACAGATGGTAAATCAATATATACTTGGAAGCAAATTAAAATACTAAATAACCCTAGTCTAAGAGAGAAAAAAGCAAGTTGGTTTGATGTACTAGAAAGAGAAATAATTGATGACTCACCAACAAGAAAAGTCAAACTAGTATACAAGCTTGAAATATATAATTCAAATATACCCAAGATAAGCATAGAGAAAGTTAGAGAGGATAAAAAATTTAAAAAATAGATAATATGGGAGGATAAAAACCATGTACAGATTAGAATTGGGAAAATCATAGATAAGAGAGAAAAGTATGCTGAAATAGAAAACTATACAGAAACAATTAAGCCACAATTAGAGTGAGATAAAAATTTTTGCAATATGTTAAAAACCAAGCACCTATTTTAGTAAAACATAGAAACTAAAAGATATATCAAACCTAGTACAAAATTCAGAAAATGGCCTACAAATAATTTTTAGTACATATTTTTTAAAAAAAGCTATTAAAAAAGATATAAAAAGAAAGATAGTAATTGCGAGAGAGATACAGAAAGTTAAGAGAAAAAAATTACTAGTTATAGGTTGTATAAGATAAGAAATATCTTTAATAAATAGAATAGTTGAAGATAGAATACTTAAAAATAGTTTAATAGAGATATTAGATCAAAATAAAGCTTTAGATAGTTTTTTGTTTTATACAGATGGCTTATTCAGAACATCAGAGGATTGTATAAAAATGGAGATAGATTGTGGTATAGTATAAATTATAGAAGAGGGTCAGATTCTCTGTTAAATATCTTGTAATACTAAAAAGTGGTTCTTATCAACAAAAGCAGAGTTAGTAGCAATCCTAGTAGCACTACTAGTAACATCTAAAGAAAAGTAAATAGAAGTAAAAATGGACAGTAGTGTGGCTATATTTGCAATCATAAGGGGGTTTGAAGCAAACAAAGCAAGACAATAGTTTAAGATCAAAAATGGCAGCCTGATTGCAATAATAATAGAAGTAATCAAAACGAAGCAACTAATTCTGCATTTCACAAAAATAAAGGGTCACCCAGAAGATATTTTTAATGATTTGGCAGATCTCAAAGCCAAAGAAAGTGCTAGATCTACAGAGCTCTTAATTCCTATAGTATTTTTATTTTTATTTTTTGGTGTTAAGGTGAGGCCTTGCTCATATCTTTATTAGGTAATTTATATAAATAATTACATAGAAACTATATAAAAACTAAATTTGTATAATAACAAGTATTTATAAATTATATGCAAGAATGGGAGCT